GCTGCCAGAGCCAGAATGACACAGGATAGGAGGGAGGTAGGTGGGCTCTGAGCTGAAAGCCAGTACCAAGGCTGTGTATCCTTAGTGAAGCTGTGCCCCACATGCCACTGAAGCCCTCGTGTGCTGCCTCCTTGGTGCAGTGTGATGAAAAAACAGTTTGATGAGAGCTCTTTAGCAGAAATAACCTGTATTTTAGAAGACTGTGTGAATTCCATGTGCTTTAGTTTGGGGGTTTGTTTTATTTTGCTTCATGTTTTGTTTCATTGGCTGTATCAGCCTTCCAAAAGGCAGAGCTGTGTTATTTCAGTTGTTGCCCCCACAGAAATCTTTCCTGGGATAACCACCATGTCCTCTGGTGTTTCCCATGCTGACAGGAATGTCCCTTCTGAAGAAGTTCTCTCTTTCTGTAAGACAAGTGACACGTAAGGAGGGAGGGGGAAGAGTCAATTTCTGAAAGTTAAAGGTTGGAATTTTTCTGTACTTCATCATTTATATTCTGAATTATGCAGGGATTCCTCAAGCCTTTTAAAATCCCGAGTCCTGTTGGTCTGTAGCCTGAGCTAGATGATTTAAGATCTCCAGAGGGGATGTTTGCTTCTGATAGTTCACATGCTTTCAGGAGAGGCCACTGCTTGCAGGATGGCAGAGTTTCAGTGATTTAGTTTTTAGTGCAAGTGGCCATCTGTGTTGGAGGAACATGGACAGCAGTTGGGTGAAATGTTTGTCAATGGAGATCCATTTTGGTATCTCTTTCTGCAGCTCATAGAACACAGATATAAATAAATGTTTAATGAGCGAGGCCTCCAGTATTGCAAAACTTTGGCATGAATGTCTGAGACTGTCACTATTCATACTGCTGTCAAATTTAAATTATGCCTGAAAGGAGGCAGAAAGCTGGAATCAGCTTGCTGCTATATTGCTGTATCATTAGTGGGAAAATTCAGGACAGAGGGGAAAAATATCAATCTTTTCCCCTTGTGATTCTCCCAAATTCTGTTTTCTGCTGTCATGCTTATGACTTTCTTTGTTGTCTTAACATACCTTCATAATATTTTTAGCACATATTTGAATATTAATGTTTCCTCATCATGGTGACATGTGCCCACCTCTTTACCATGTGTAGTTTACAATCATTTTCTCACCTTGCACATTAAATCTGGCACTTATCCAGGAGCCCTTTAGGCTGGTTTTGCAGAATGGACTTCCAAATAGTCTCACTAAAGCCATGGGTGTGGAGCGTGAGGCTGTGATTTTTTTACAGAACCCTAGAGATGGGTTCACAAAATCACCCAGTACAGCCTTGAGGAGGCACATCCAGGACAACCATCAAGGAGTAGGGAAGGATGTTCTGACCTTGACTCAGCTTCACTTTTCCTTGGCCAAGCCCAAACCTCATCCTGGTGCATTTGAACACGTGCTGTGGGGGCAAACACCTGAATCCTCAGAAAATGGGATTTCTTTGTGAGTTGGTGGCTGTCTCCTTGTGCTGAGAATAGCCAAGGCTGAAGTTCACAGCCTTCACCTTCCCTCTGGGGCACTGTAGCACTTCTCATCTGTAACTTTGCTCCACTTGGATTTGCTTTTAATCCAACTCTTTCTTCCCTTACAGGGTGGGGGCATCTGCATAAATTCATAAACTACATCCATTTTTTTGTTTGTTTCTATTTTTCTAATGTATCTTCTAAGGATTTTTTTTTCTCTATTTAAATACTAAGTGTTATTTTCCTGTCTTTAGAAGATTTATTATCCTGTTTTTCATTTTCTGCTCTGAATATGTGTTTGACACATCTTTAGTTATTAGAATAGAAGCCTGACACTGTAGGAAACAGAAAATGTTTGCCTGCATTATGTTTTACATTATAAATGGTGCTTGTTCTTTGCCATACAAACAGGCTCCTTGAATAATTTTACGGTGTGCGGTTGAGAACTGTGCTGAACCATTTGCTAGTAAATCAGCATCTCTTACAGCAAACTCTCCATGCTTTGTCAGCCACTATATCTAGGGAATAAAATCTAATAAAGAAAAAATCCAAACGTCGAGCAGTTATGACTTATCTCCCTGAAAAATATGTGCTGTTTTGAGTTTAGGACCCAAATATCTGAGATTTTTTGGGGCAGTGTCCACTACAAAAGCTTTAATGTACAGTAGAATGTGCAAAACATCTGCCTTTTTACTAAAAATCTGGTATTTGCAATAAAATACATTGACTAGTTACAGTTTTCCTCTCAGTTCTTGACTCTCAGGGAAGGTTCAGCTCCTGAAAGCAGCAACGGGAAGTTTCAGCTTTAGTTTCCGACTGTGATGGAATTTCAGTAACTTTAACCCTGAGAACTTTAAAAAGTAAAATAAAAAAATGAACCCCTCCTCCTTGACATTAAAGATGATGAGGAACACCTTAAAGGTTGGAGGGGTTTTATTTGCTTTCTGGTCTTGGCGTGCTGGGTACAGTCATATCCTACTATCCAGCTTGTCTTCACCACTTAATAGATGCACCAACTCTTTTTTAATTAGTATTTAAATTTTTTTAATGGCAGCTGGAATGTGTTGATTCCAGCAATAGCTAATATCAAGAGACTTGTCAGCTCTCATATTTTATGGCAGCAGTGTGCTTCTGTGGGGTCAGCCTTTACTGCATTGCTTAGAGCTACTTATAGTTTTGCAAAAGAAGGCTGATATTGGAAGTAGCAAGGAGTGAAACCAACATGAGGAAAATAAAGGCAGGATCTGCCAAAAGCAGGAAAAATTCTGAAGTATTATCCCAGGTTTTTTCTTTGTTTCATAATAAATGTTCTGAAAGGTTTGACATATGCTGTGGGATCCAAAGTACCTGAAAATGATGTTGGTATTGGCAGCTCTTTTCCACCGGGTCCCCAGTGTCTCTGGTGCCTGACAAACTAATGTCACATGAGCAGCAATTAGTGTTGACATTTCTTAAGGCCAAGATGAGGAACAGTGTGTGGACACTCAGAGCAAGCAGTTCTATTCATAAAAACAAGAATTCGGCTGATTTTTTTTTTTTTTTTTAAGTTATTGTGGTCTTTGCTGGCCGACTTAGCTTTTTGATTGAGTTCCTTGTCTGTGTTTGAGTGTTTGGATCAGAACAGGGAGTACAACCTTTCACACCTCCAAGTGTAATTGTTCCCAGTGCTTTGATCTCAGGTCTCAATTTTTCAGCACAATTTCCCTTGTCCCCTCTCTTCCCAGAGTATCTACTCAGTAGAAAAGTGAGATGTTTTAAATGGTGAGAAAGGATGTTTTTTGTTTTGTAGGAGTTTGTTTTACAATAAAATACCCAAGATTCTAGGCAGATCCTTGAGATGTTTCCTTGCTGGTTTGGCTTTTAAAGCTGGAACAGAATGGTGGTAGGACAGACATGCATGGTATCCATAGGTCCCGTTGTGCTGAAGGTCTTTGCTTTCTGCCTTTGTCCCACAGATCTCTTTTAGTTACTTTCTGCATAGGAATATTTTTTTCTTTTGGATTAAATGAAAGGAAAAACTGATCTTGTGAAACTTGGCTATTACTTTCTCTTTGCTTTGTGATAAGGTGTGGCTTCCTTTGGATGCTCAGTGTCTCCTGACAGAGCCATATGCCTGATTTGAAAAACTGGAGCCAGGTGTCTAAACGTGAGCACTAATGAAATATCGGGAGGAATGTGCAAAATATTTAATTCTAAGCTTTAGTTCAGTCTATTTCCACTGCATTACATGATTGGAACAAAAACCTAAACAATTCATGGCAAGATGGAGTTCGTTAGCTCACAAAATGGGGTTGGAAATGTTGACAAATATATTTGTGGTGTTCCTGTATGATTGCTTCATTTCTGCTTGCAGGGCTCCTATATTGCAGCCTAATCCAAAGCACAGCATGACTCCTTCCTAGGACTAGTCCCTTCTATCATATCTCTCCCTCCCCCTAAATCCCTTCAATCAGCTTTCAGTAAAATAGAAAATAGGTTTTATTACTTATTAAAAGTTTTATAATGGAGGCCTGGCTTATCTTCCCTACCTTCTGTCACTGACAAACTTGGACCAACAACTGCCAGATATTTGTCCAAAAAATAGATTGAAACATTGTGGATTTTATGCTCTCAGTAACTTTACAACCTGGGAGAAGCTTCAAAGACCCCAAACCACCCAAACCAGTAGTAGAAACTAGTTTAAAAGTTACAGATCACTGTGGCAACTCAAAAATACTGAATGCATGTGACTTGCAATTTTTTTCAGTTTTATCAGCTGGGTGAACCTGAGGTGACAATTTTGCTGTATTTCAGCGGCAGAGTTTGATGATGTTAATCTGCAGTGTAATACTTGCTGTGTGACACTACTGTGGTCGTGTTGTGGATTTTTCACATCACTGCACAGTGTTACGCCGGCCCAGGGAGTTCATCTGAAACACTTAAAATGAAATAACTGGAGGATCAGGTACCACGTGTGTGTTACCAGGGTCCTGGGCCAGGGCCACCAGCCCCGACCCTGCTGCAGACACGGCCCCCCTGTGTCACAGCCCCTCCACTGGTGCCTTCTCTGCACCTTGCACTGAGCAACTGAGCTGTTGACAACTTCAGGTTCTTCCCAGGTTTCCATCTGCATCCACATCCTGACTCTGAGGGTCCCCTGAACTCCAGTCCGTGCATGATCTCACTTTAGGAGCTGCGATCTTTCCAAACCTCTTCCTGCAGCAGACTCTGGACTTCCCTGTCTGATGGTGCTTGCACTGTTCTCTTCAACCACAGATGAAATAATGTGTTTATGTTAAATTTTGCTGGCCTCCAGTTTCTAGAACTGCCTTAGAGTGGCTCAGTTCCCTCATACTTGTAGTGCCTGTTCTTCCATTTGGTATAAACAATTAGTTGGTATTTTCTGTCAACTTCAATGTGTTATGGGTTATAAAGTGAGCATTAGGGATGGAATATCCTGAGGTTTGTTCCCTCTCCAGATTAAAAAAAAAATAAATTAAAAAATCCCTCAGTATGCAAGAAGGTGAAACATGAGCTATGTGAACTTGTTAAACACATTTATTGAGTTCTTGACAGTAACCAAACACAGTGAATGACCATTATAAACAAGAAAAAAGGCATTTGCTTTTACTTGGTCAGCTCCTGCTTTATCTGTAAAGAAAAGATATCCCTTTCCACCACCAATTTACAGGATTGAATGTTTGTTCCAATAATGGCTTCAGCAAGGAAAATGGCAATTTTAAACTGAGATATGTTTCAAGTGCTTTCTGCTTCTGAGCCCAGTTCCTGTTAATGATGGACCATAAAGTGGAGTTAAAGTTATACCAGCTCTAAGTGCATTCCTAATTGTCATTAACTCACTTAAACTGGCTGCAAAAAGAAAAGGGAAGTTAAAAAAAAAAGAAAACCAAAAGAAAAACACAAATAATGCAGCCACAAGTAGTAGAGGCTTATTATTTCAGAAAGGAAAAAATAAATCAAAGCAAGTTTACTAAATTAATTTGTTAAACACATTTATTGAGTTGTTAATAGTAACCAACACAACGTATGACCTGTTGTAAAACAAGAAACAGAAAATGGATCAATTCTGATTTTGGCAAATCCTACTACAGATATGTGACAGAGGGAAATATTTCCATTTCCTTTATATTCTGCAGTGATATATTTACAATACTTATCTCTCAAAGTCTGTCCCTTTTTTAATTAAATTAACAGAAAGATCATAACCTAGAAATAAGTTTCCTTTACAGTAGTCTTGTTCTGTCTTGTCAGGATCCATTAATGATAGTGAAATAATGAGAGCTTTCCAAGGATTACTTGGCACACAGAACACAACTCCACTTTGATGCTGTACCGAGCCACCTTTTTTCTTTCTTTTTTTTTTTTTCTTTTTTAATTGAGGGAGGGGGGAAAAAGAGGAAGAATTTCATATGTACAAAGGCTGAAAAGTCTTTCTTTGTGACTCTAAATTAGTTCAGGAAAATTGTAATCACATTTACTGTAATACTGTCTTTTTACTTTTTTTTTTTGTGTGTGTGTTTTTTTTTTTTTTTTTTTTAATTTCCACCGATCATATGAATGAATTTTCAGTTGAGTTTCCAGCATGGCAGCTCTTTTCCCACAGCACGTGCTGTTGTGAACCCAGAGAGTGAGGTTTGGTACATTCCAGATGATGTCAGCTCCCAGCAGCAGCATTCCACTGAGGTTACGGGTTCTGCCTGCTCTGTCTTACTTACTTGAGGAGCCATTCATTTACTGAAAGAGAAACAAAAACCATTAGGCTTCAGCAAACTCCAAATACGAAACTGGTTGGATTTAACAGGGTACTAGGCACTTAAAATGTCTTTAAAAAACCAGGAGGTTCAGTTTCCTCCTCTTTCTGGAAAAGGATTAAGTCTGAATGACTTTCTTTGAAGTGTTGTAACTCAGCCATTGCATCGCTGCTGAAAATGTGCTTTCTTTTCCAACCTTCAGTACTGTTCCTTCATAACCATAATATTAATGCTGAGAAGGCACTTTTACACCATTATTTCAGGCAACACAACTGTGTGCACAGGCTAAGAGGTGCATGAGGCACACTAAAGCCCAGTTGTGAGCTGCAGCTGTGGCAGTGTCAGGCTCTACCTGCAGGTGACTGAGTTGGTTCATTGTTTAATATCCATTGTGTGACACCACACTTCTCCATTTGAGTGCTTGCTAGGATGGTGCACCTCTAAAGTGAAATATATTCTTTTGTTTGAGATCAGTTGTCACCAAGATTAGCTCATCCCCCTTTGTGGGTGGGCAAAACAGAGCAAAATGCACTTGGTAAGGTGAGAAGACTTTAAAATGAGGCAAGAAAACTGTCCCATCTGCTTTTAAAAACACATTAGATGTCTCAAGACTTTTTTTTTGGTCATGTTTCCTGCATGTTTCTGGGCATGTTTCCTCATCTGTTTCCAACATGTAATGTTTGACTGATACCATTATTCCCCCAGATCTGGAGTTTTAAGTGTTTTTATTTGTGTGCTTTATGTGCTTTGATTTCTCGAAGAAAAGAGCTCAGTCTAGGCATAGAAAGGGTTATTCTGGAGGCAGAACCTACCTCTATACTGTAGTTTCTGTGCTCTATTGTTTGGACAATCTTTTCCCTGTAAACTAAAGTTGATGTTAGTTCGGATACATCGGTTGTTGAGAGGCTGGACTGGTCTGAAATTGTCACTCATGCTCAGAAATATCTGTGATGGCTGATTCTGGCTTAGCAGTCGTAAAGAATGCATCTGTACAAAATACAAAACAAGGGGGGGTTAGTGCTGGTCTTTCCTGCAAGTAAAAAACAAACAACAACACAAGACTATTAAATAGGACAGTTAATATGTGAAAGCAAAAGAGAATTTCAGCAGTTTGTACTCAGAAGTGAGTTTGAAAGAGTTAAAACTGTTCCTTCTGTTGTCCTCTGCTTCTGAGCCCCGTTTCAAACCAAAGTAACTAGTTTTGTGTGGAGTAAACGAAAATGGTATGAGGTATCCTTGGCTGAGCAGGAAACAAATGGAATCCACGGTACTGGATGGCAGCAGCTGGTGCAGGGAAAATGAACTTTATGAATGACAAGAGCTAATTTCCCAGGTTTTGTAGCTATTAGTGTAGCTTTCAGTCGAGAAGCCACAGTTTTGGCTGATGTTACTCAAGAAGCAGGTAGGGGCAGTCAGGATGGAAGGAAAACTGACAGTCCTGCTGCTGGAGTCAGGAAATTAATGATGTTAAAAACGGAGATCCTCTGTCTCTTGACAGGTCTGTCATGATATTGTCTGTGCTGTGACTATGATTGTTCTTACAGCAGACTCTGGCCTCGTTTGGGGATGGTTTTACAGATCAGAGGGAATTAGAGTCATCCCCTGTATCCAGCAGTGGTTGGTTGCAGGCAGCAGTGGTTCTTATGGTAACTGTGCTAAAGGCACATTAGTTGGGTAAAGTCAAGCAAAACCAGAGAGGTTAAAAAAGCTGCAATCCGTAAATGAGAAATCCTCAAAATATTTTGGCTTAAAATCATAAAAAGAAAATATTTTCCATGTCAGCATACAATTTGAGAGGTTTGCTTATGGCATTTAATGCTTAAATGGAGAAATCCAGTAGCTGGGCTTTATATACTGAAAATCTTTAACAACTTCCAGGGAAAACTCGAGCTGTGCCTTCCCTTTTCAGTCTGAGTACCCAATGTAATTAGTAACTACTCCACGAAATCAATTTGCAGCACTAATAATGGAGGATGTAACTAACCATTAAAGCATGACAAGGAGTAAGTATCATGAGATTATAACCCATAGGTAGTAGCACAGACTCTAGAAATTTTCTAATCCTCTTTTTGTACATCAGGGTTGCAACTAAAAACGTTGCTTGTAGGAAAATATTCAGGTCCTGTGTTTGAAAAGTACAGAATATTCAGCATGTTTGCCTGTGCTTCAGCTGTGTCCTTCTCCCAAATTACCCATTTAGAAAAGAAACGAAGTGCTTTCTCTCCATCCAGACAAAACTGGACAGAAGGAATATCACAAAAATAAAACATCTCAGGCTTTTAAAAGTCATCTTATCTACAATGTTAATATGATTTTAAATCCCAAAGTGATATTTAGGGTTGTTTTATTGTTCGTCATTTCATTTCTCAGGCCAGATTGCTTCTGTTGCATGCTTGGGGCAGGCAGATGGTGGTTTGAGTATTCCTTTGGGGTTCTGGTGTGCAGGAGAGTAGGTTTTAGTTCAGCTCACAGCTCTGTAGGCACCTCACTGATGGAAACTCCGAAGAAGACTGTGATTGGTGTTAAATTTGCTGTTTTCTGATGTCAGGCCTTGGATTGTAAGCAAGTCGTACAGAAATGCAGCCTGAGACTTTTCCACTGGTGTGTTTCCTCAACAGTGTAATTTTGACTGTGAAATTGTCTTTTCTCTTGCATGATTTATCCAGCTGGTCTCTAATAGGGACTTCAGTATATCAATCTGATTTTTCTGAAGGTATTTGCTGTGTCTATCCTGTCATTTTATTCTGTCCCAGAAGGCATTAGCTGATTTTTATTCAAGGAGGCCCCAGATATTGTATCGCTGTCCCTTAATGTGCTATCAACACAAATTTATTCTGACCTAAGAATGGCCTCTATTATAATTAATAACCTCAGTTATTTTAGTGCAACACTGCTGTACTTGTTCTAGAATCCCCAAATAACTATTCACAGCATCACAGAATAATTTAGTTCAGAAGAGACTGCTGGAAACCACTCAGTAGGGCCCACCTTAAAGATACTGATGGAGCTCTAAACAGTTAATATTTCCATTTTGAAAAAAAACTCCCTTCAATGTTTTAGCAAACTGTATAAAATGCATGCAGAGATCCCTTACAGCAAAAGGTTGAATCTATTTTTTAATGTAAAACTATGAATATATATTTAAAGTATTACTTTGTACCTACATTAGATTGAGTAATTTTTAAATTATTTTACCTGCATTCTTGTTATGTAGACAGGTTTGTTCATTATTATCCAGCTTGCTGTTTCATAGCAGGGTGGAATTGTCATTGACCCATCATACGTAATGAAACTAGATGTCTCTGGATAAAGTTCCTCAATATTAAGCCCCTGTAGTAAGTATGCATCATCTGGAGAATAAAGAAGGAAAACAATTGGGGTAAAACAAAAGCTTCACCAAAAAAAAATACAACCCTTTTGATGTATCCTTATTCCAGAACACGATCTTTAGTTTTACCAAGGTGTGAGGTTTAACAAATGTACACATCTGAATGCTCCAGTTTGGACAAGAAAAAGCAACACAAAGTCACTAATCCTGCTTGGGTTGAGCTGCACCCCTGTGAGCCGAGCACAGGAATTCACAGGGAAACTCTGAATCTCATTTAAGAGCGGGAGTTAAAAGCTTCTTGAAGTTGCAGTTATTGATTGAGATGCAGCAGCCTTTGGAGAATGTGCACTTTCCATATTTTGGAGTGATTAACAATTTTTGCTCCACAAAGCCTCGGGAAGGCCAAGAGTGTTAAAACTTAATTGCTCTTCTAGCACAGGAGGAAGTTAAGGTTAATGCATGATAATAAAGCTGCTCGATGGAGCCTGCTGGCCTTTCATGTGCACAGTGGGGGTGGATGCAGTGGGAGCTCACTGAGAATGCTAAAATCGGGGTGGAAAATATTCCAGAAATACCAGGGTCCCTGCTTTTATTGTGAATCTCCTTGGGAATTAACGAGGTATCCCTCTGCAACAGAATTCACTCTGTGGATATGCACCAAAATATAACGAGATGTGGTTCTATCTTTCAGAATTCATCAAAGTCCTCCAGCCTTTTCTACCCCATGTGCACTGTTTCCCTTGGGCAATGCCGGCCCTACAATATTTTTGGCAGTGCTGTCAAAACTAAAACTCAGATTTCCCTGCCAAATCCTAGGCTGTAGGAGTTCTTCCATAGGAAATACTCTGGGATATACGTGCTTTATTGCTTATACACTGCTAGTGTGTGTCTCAGAGAAAGCTGGGGTGGTTACGAGCTGTAACCTCCTGAGATCTCTTTGCACACCTTCACTCGTGTGTATTGTCTTCAATTAGGTTCATTTGCAGAGTGAGCACTAAAATATAGGCAAGGAAAGCTGCATATTGAGGTGTATTTCCCCTTTCAGTGCACAAGATGAGCTGGTCTTGATTTGCAGAGAAAGGAAGTTCATAAAAAAGAAAAAAGAGTAATTTAACCTGAATTTAACATATTATAGCTGAAGGACAAAACTTAGATGAGCAAAAGACTTGTCTCCTACAGTCTGATGGAAAAATAAAAAAGGACTGCAGACTACTGTTTCGGGCAACAGAAAATCAACACAGGCAAAGCAAATGTGACCTTGTTTTTTATTTTAACACAGTGCAGTCAGCATGGTACAGGGTTCTGGGGTAGCAATATCAGCAGCTACAGCATCAGTTAAAGTGTCAAGGTGAGAGTGTAACTTTTCTGCCTCATTGACCAGTGCCTTACAGTTATTTCATATTTTAAACATGTTTGTTATTTTACAGAATAAAATCTTGACCTGTCCCCTGGTGTTGGTCAGAAATAGACCCTTCTGCCACGTTCTTGCAGCTCGAGGGTGATGGCAGTGCTGGCTGGATCCTCAGGCAGAGGGGCAAGTGCTCTTAGTGTCTGCCTGTAAGTGGCTGACTGTCACCTTTTTTGACATGCTCAGTCTTCACTGGCCCATGGCCTGTGACAGTCTTTCTAAACCCAAATTTTCTAGACAGAAGTGTGAAATCAGAGTCAAAATGCAGCTCAGCTTGAACAGCTAGAGCTGACTGAATACACCTGTGTCCTATCCATTAAAAACATCATTTGCAGTGCACTGGTAACTTTGCTAGAATTGCATCAGAAGAGAATTAATGCTTTTTTTTTTCATGCCAGTTTTCAATGAGTCATCACACACTTCTCCCTTTCCCACATGAACATCCTGTTCCTCATTTATGAACCATGGAGAGTGGTGTGTTAGCTCCAAATGGCACAGAGTCAGGCAGAATAGATGGTTGCAACCTCCAAGGACCAAATCTGCTTTCTCACAGTTGTAGTGGTTTCAGTTGGGCTAAAATGATTTAAACCAGGTAGAATTTGCCCTGAATGTTTACTAGGAGATGGAAATCTAACTGAAGATTAATACAGATGAGGGATATTGAAATGGAAAACTGGAGCTAAGTATCACTTCAGGAAGAGTGGAAGATAGGGGTGAATGAAATAATTTTGTCTAAGTGAAAGCAGTATTTATTAATGCCTGTATATGGGTTATATTCCCATGGGAAGTCAGATGATTCCATGAGAAAATACTTTACAAGAAGGATATGGTTATCAACACTTTCCCCACGAACAGGTCTGCCTTTTCCCCCCATCCTGATAAAAGTTTCCTGTTCTAGAACTGAAAACAGAATTGGTGGGTTTGCATTAAAACCACACTGCAGCACTTCAAAGTCTTGTCTTATATTTATTGCAAATATGTAGTTCAAAATGGTCAAAATCATCCCATGTGATCTCTTGCCAGTTATAAACTTCTTTTAATAAACCCATCTAGCATTTACTAGATTCTCAGCATCATTCCTGTCTACAGCCCACAATCTGTTTATCTTGATCTGCTGCTGCCTTAGGGTGATTTCTGAACCCATGAACTCTTCTCTATACAAATTAGATTTCATTAGATTTTGTATTCATTTACATAAAGGCCTTGACTCTGACAATTTACTTAGCAAAGATGGAAATCCTTTTATCCCTAGGTTTGTAACAGGCGTGTGGGGTCACTTTTCACAGCAAATTCTCTGTATGTTCTCTGTAAAACAATGCTACTTACAGGGAATACATTGGTTACTGAGTGAAGGAAGGGACATTTGATTTTGAAGTTCATACCATGATAACCCAGAAAAGGACCCATGTTAGGTTTACAGGATAAGAATGTAGAGATCCTCAGCTTTTTAATCCTGAGGCAGAGTTTCCCTGCTTACCAGCCCTCCCCAGTCTCTTGGACCTGGCCTGACAGGGAGTCATTCTGAACACCCAAGGTGTTCACAACCTTGGGGAGTGCTGAGCCTTTATTGCTTGTGACAGGAGCTGCAGGAACTCAGTCCTTCAGAGAACACACTGAAACGTGAACCTGGAAAAATTATTATTATTTTATTTTTCCAGATTCCCCCCCCCCCCCCCCCCCCAGAAATCTGCATCTTAAGATTTTCAGGATAGTCTCTTAAAATCAGAATACTTTATTCACTTATATATTATCTCTAAAATAACTAAAGACTGAATCTGAGGAAATTCAGAATTTTATAGCTTTTCTGCCTAGCTGAATGTGTGGCAGTATTTTGGAGGAGAACGACAAGCCCAAATTTTCATATGGAATTTTGGGAATCCAGGGTTAAGCAAACACTGGATGAAAGCTCATGTAGCATAACTGTTCTGAAAGAAAGCTAACTTATCCCCTTGAATGGCACTTAAAGAGGAATAACAAAGCAGTTTTTCTTTAGAGATATTCACTTAGCTTCTGACTAAAGCATGCTTGAAAGAACCCTTGTTTCAACCAGCTCACAGTAGATTCTTTGGGCTGCGATAACAGAATAAAATAAGCATTTAAAATCTGCTTAAAAATTCCTTGGGGTCCACTTTACTTCACTGGAGCCATTAATATCTAAGGGTAGAAATTTCCCTTGTAATGCATTTTGCCCATGGAAATTTCACATGGCAGGGAAGATAGCTCTTAATTTTGTTGCTGCTCTTTAAAAAAAGTACTCTATTTATATTATAAACTGTCCTGACTCTGAACCAATGCTCCACTCATCATTCCCTCCACGCTCCTGTTGAGCACTGGGCCTGGTCATTTTGTCAGCACCGTGCTGAGTATTGACTTCAGGAGTGGACCCCTAAAGCACAACCTGAAAAGCTCCAGCAGCTAAAGGCAGAATAGAAATCCTTGCAATGTAAGAGGTAAAATTAGTTTTCAGCAATGATGCTATAATCCATCATGCAAGACAACTGCAAAATTACTTTCAATAACACTTTCGCGTTCCCAATTTACACTAAAAATTCCCAGTCAATACTTGTTACTACAGTAAGTAACCCAATGCCCTGCAGAATATCATGTGCATTGTATCTACAAAGGGTTTCATTTTAACAGATAAACTTGTTACCAAAAACAGTGGTTAAAAATTAAAACAGTTAATCACTGATTTTGCAGCCTTATGTTACATGTTCATCTTCACGCGAAATTTCATTTAGCAAACCCAAATGAGGTGTGATGGGAATTGCATTTTTCTTGTAAGGAGACAAAACAAGCAATGAAGGGTTGTAGGATGCTGACAGCTCCAGAGAGGAGGAGTGTCCTCTTGTAAGTGCAGCATACAAATGAAATATTTGGTATTAGGAAGCTGTACTTGGCTGCTGCTGTGGGTGATGGTTCCAGGCTCACACAGGCAAGAAGAAAGATGCTGCAGGTGCCTTCCTGCCCTGTGGAGCTGTATGCCCCTAATCACAGCCTGTCCACTGCAGCATGTGGGGCCAAGGAGCACAGATGGGGCTGTGACACACCTGGAAGGTGTGAGGTACAGCTGCTGTGCTGGGAAACACAGAGTAGCGGCCTTCTCTTACTTGGTGTGTAAGACCCAGCAGTGTCTGTATGCTGGGAACAGCAGCTTCTGCAGTGGTACAGTCAGGGAACTTCTGGCTGGTCCGTAGGTTGAAGCTGGGAATGGGGAATTTGTCAGTGAAAGAGCTGGAAAAAGCACAATAATGTCCTGTCTCCAGGATGCTGCAGTGGCAGCACTGGTAGGCAGGAAGCTCTTAGAGAACAGCATTGCTGTGTTTTTCCAAGGAATCAAGACAGGCAGTTGAAAAATGGAGCTAATCTCTTGCTTCCATGCAGAGAAGATGATATTTTATACTGATGGAACAATCTGGTAGAAATATTCTGAGGGGAACCCTCTGTTGCCTGTCTTTCCATAGGTACTGTGGAGAACTGAGTTTTGTCATTATAAAAGTGTCTTATTTGGACCAAAGATGTAACAAGATTTGTTAACTGTCAGGTAAAATCAGAGAAACATCAGTGGGATGAAAGGTGTGTGTGTTGTAGGACAGGACAAGCAACTATTAGTTTTTTCAGTTTGCTGTGTACTTTCAAAAAGTTAATTTCTGGTATTGTTGAACTTATCGACTTAATGGCAGTTCAGAATTCAAGTGAATATTTGACAAAGGGAATGAGATTTTCAGGATTAAGAGGTTTAATTTGTTGCATTGAGATACATGTATTTTTCATTACTTTCTCTAAATTATCCTAATTAAGCTCTAGATAACCACAAGGTCAATATACTAACATGATATTATAGGGCATCATCAATTAAAGGCTTTCCAAATGCAAATACAACAAATATACAAGCTGTGCTAACAACCTCTTTCTATATCCATTAAATGTAGCAATAGTTGAATAGGAATGTCATAACTTTTCTGTACAAAAAGAAAACATTGATGAATACTAAATCCACAGTTAAAGATGCACCATCTAGACACAACTTGATTTGATATGATCCAGGCTGCTCTGCATGTCCCTTTTATTGCTAACAGTGGGCAGTTTCTCCTGAGCATCCTGTGTGAGTACAGTATGTGTATGTGTCAAACATAATTTCATTAATCTATTGCTTCTTCAGACATAAAATAGACTTTGAAGTTCGGAATTCACTTGATAAAGTGATGACCTAACTGGATTTTTCACGTTCCTGAGTTTATCATGCAGAGTTGCTGGCAACGCAAACTTGGAACTTTTGCCCGTGACCAAGTGCCTTCTGATTCAGTGGATCACTAAATCCAGTATTTGATACAGAAATCATGCAGCTGTTAGCCAGAGGAAATGAAAAGAAACTTACTTTTATACGTTATTCTCGTTATGGTGTCTCTGTTAAGCATACGATTTAGAAATGGATTTGATGATTCAGATACCTACAGAAGAGAAAAGGAAACAATGGCAAAGCCCTCTCACAAACATTTCCTTTCCGTGCTCACTCCTGACACTCCTCCAAATTGGATCTGCCTTTCCCCACCCCCCCACTCTTATGGGAAGAGGAAATAATTACTTAGTTGTTTTTCTAAGAAACCCTGGTAGAAAGTTGGTATCCAAAAATAAATCCCCCAAAAATAGGGATGGGAGAGCAGGGTGAATAGAAACTGATGCCTGAATAAAACCATGAGCACAGGGTTTTTTTCTCCAACAGCTGTGATGGGATTTGCAGGTGGCTGGTATAATTAGGCAGGATTTTCATATAGTATTCTATTATTTTTCTATTTATTGAGAAATATAATTTCCTTGTAGCAGACTATTTCAAATGAAAGCTGTCTTCCTTTGTTTTACATGTGGGTAACATATGAGGGAACACTTCATGTTCAGGTGGAACTTCCTGTCTATCAGGTTCTCCCTCTTTTTCTCTTGTCCTATTGCTCAACAGCACCAAGCAAAGCTTGGTCCATCCTCTGACCCTCCCTTCAGATACTTCTAGACATTGAAAAGATTCCCTCTGTCTTCTCTTTTCCAGGCTACTTTGAAGCCTTCCTTCAATTTTTCCCCTTTTCATGAATTCGAGTCACATTGTTGGGTCATGATACAATACATTTTGGATGAAAAAAAGAAAAGGTAGCCTAAACATCTTTCTTAGATATTAGACCTGTGTGAAAATTGTCCTTTTATATCTAATTATACAATATGCTCTGTGAAATGCTCATTTTAATTCTGAGGTCAATGTTTTGTCAGGAGCTTTATGAAATGGGATTAGAGTACTAAAGGGAAGTAACAGATATCCAATATGTCATGTGTGATGATGGAAGTTATTTCTTCCAGCATGAAGCACTTATTCAGAAGTACATGCTTTTTTAGTCTGATTAAACATATACATAATGGCAGATTATTAACAACATTTCAAGGAGGGAACTTCATTCTTCATACAAAATCAGAGAAAAGGTTTCTCCAGTGTAATTAGAGAGGTTTGAGTAGATTATGAAGTCTTGAGTTCACTGCTAGATCACTAAGTTATAGAATTAACTATGTCATGAATGCAACAGGTTGGAGACTACAAGATGACAAAAATTCACGTCTTTCTAGCTCTGTGAAATGCAAGATATTAAAAGTCAGACTTTTAGTGTTCTTTGAGTTTGGACAGTTCAAGAGGTTTCAAATAACATTATGAAAGAAACTGATTTTGCTGACTTTGAAACATCAGCTTGTGTCCAAAGAGCAAACTCCCTCCTGCTCAGCACCTCAGCCTGCTAGGAGAGATTTACTTTTAACTGAATGAACAATGTTTCATGAAGAAACACTAAATCTGCAAAGCTAGTAACATTTGTCATAACCATTAAAGTGTTATGAGTGATGTTTATGATGTCAGGGTTCTTTTTTCTCCTCCCTTATCCCTTTTAATTTCCCTTACATTGCAAATACTTCAGAGCAGAGATGGTGTGCTCAGTTCAGGACAGTGCTGCCTCTGGATTCCGGATCAGAGCCTTTAGGCACTGCTAGACTATAAGGAAGAGTCTAACTCCTACATTTACAGTTCAGGGAAAGGAAGCCTACTGTCTATATATTAGGAGCCAATAACACTGAATACTTACTTTCATGAATATGGAAACTACCACCAACCCGTTAGGGCTCTTTGCAGCTTCTGTGACATTCGTGTACAGCTCGTGGTTATAGTGGATCAGCTGAACCTAGAAAACAGGGAAGTCAAAGATCACAATGAACCAGCAGCAAATCACAGCGTCCAGTGTTTGTAAATACTCTCCATACACCCATTGGTTTGTATCAGGATCCCATCCATGCTGAGGGGATTTTATAACAGTGTGATTTTTCAGGCATTTGCAGCACGCGTGATTTTAATAATTTCAGTCACCATCTGGCTCCAGCTGGCACAGCACCAGCATGTTTTCTTCTAAATTGCCAGTAAGTGAATTTACCCACATCCAGTTATGAATTGCACTGCAGGGGTTGACATCATTTCCCTGTTCCACCAGCACATGCCATAGGCACCAAGTAATCTCTACTTTTCAGCCTCAAGCCAAACACAGAGGAGTCAGGGGTTGAAATATTTGAAGAAACATATGGGACATGGGTTTGGAACTGTTAAAACCAGCACTTGCAGAATTCAAGATACTAATATTCATTGGCCCCAGATTTTACAAATTTGGTTATAAAGGCTCCTACAGTTAGGCATTCACTGTATTATTGTTAACCAGTTTCTCCTTAGCTCCCACAGTTTCCCTTTTGCTTTTCGGTTTTATGATTTGCTGGAACTTTTAAATTATGAAGGTACAGTTCTTCTCTCTCTCTCTATATATATATGTAAATATCTTACCCAGAACAGAACCATGGTATTTGGCTAGTCTGGGATCACTGGACACTGTTACCATTTACATTGCAATTTGTAGCCATTTAAAAAAAAAAAAAAATTAACAACTTCAATGAATTCTTGAGGCAGTTAAGTACTTCTAAGTAGCTGAAAGGCTAGTCAGCTTTATTTCACCCAAAGATCTCAGTTTTCAGATGCCAGTTAGAAATTGGCATTTTTTTAAGGCACACAAACAAACCAAACTGGAATGAAAACCAAAAAAATAAAAATTTCAAAGGAACCAGTGGAGTTCTCTACTAAATTCTGACAGCCAGAATGCAGGACAAATGAAGGTCTCATGAAGAACTAATGAGAGCATTTGCTCTACAGCACAGAGAGGTTATAAGGCTCATTAGTCATCACTTTGTGGTACTACTGAACTTTGATAAAATCACAGTTCTGGGGACTGTGCTCTCACTGAAATTTTTAGGTTTGGTAATATATTTTTCTTTTTATGTACAACTCTTCACTCTGGCAACCAAACTAGCTTGTGAATTATCAAGGAAATAAGTGATGAAATCTGCTTTAGACTAAAATTCCTTCTGTACAAAGTCCCAGAATAACAGTGAATCAGCTAAACTCATTTTATATAACAAACCAAAATGCTGAGTGCAGGAATGGGTAAAAAGCAAGGAACAGATTCTTCTTCCAGCCATGGGTCAGTATCAAACTCTCATTTTTACTGATGGGGCTTATAGAGATAAAGCCCCTCAAGTGTGTGTGTGTGTGTATACACATATAATCACATACAGGCCAGACAAAGATCCCCATGCTGAATGAAGAGAGACTTTTTTTCTTCTCAAACCTGTCACTTTTTCTGTGTTAGAGTTGTATCCTTCTTCCCTGCACCTAAATTAATTTTAAAGCTGTTTCCATGGCACCATGGTTAAATTCATTAGGTTTGTCTTTTTTTACAAAAAGGTTGACCATGTAAGGGGATATTATTTTCAAAGTTTCTCATATGAAACAGGCTTATTTAGAAAGGTACAAATGAACAAAGGTGTCTGAAATACAGAATACTACAGGAAAAAAATATAATTCAGTGTTAATTTCTTCTTTGGAGAATAATTTCTTTAAAGTGCCTAAAATCCCTGTAAGCTTGTGGTCTGTATAAAATATCACTGGAGTCTTCCATGAATGTGAAGCCCCACGTAACTAAAATTGTTCAGATGTGAAAATCTCACTTTTCAAATGATGACATTGTATTTAAAGCAAAGCACAACAGGAGCAGACTTGCAATGCTGAAAGTACCCCTTGAGTCTAGTTTGAGTTTCAGGGCTCAAACACTATCCTGAATCTTGTTATAAGCTATTGATTTTCTCGGGAAGATTCCCCCTTTAAGATTAATTTGCCACAGAACAACTGATAGCTCTTTATTTTCCTCCAGCTACAGAAGTTCTGTTTTTCAGGAAGAAGAAGAGAATTAAGATTAATTACTCTCTTTTAGCTGATGAAAAACCAGAAAATGCCCTTGTTCCATCACCCAAGAATGTGCACATTGGACCAGCAGCAGGCACAGCACTTTTCAGCCTCTTGAGGTTGGTGGTGCTGGGGAGGAGCAGGAGCTGGTGACAGTCTGGCAGGCACTGCCTTTGGGGCAAAATAATAGAGACGGGCTCAGATTATGGCTCATGTTCTGATCACTCCAGGGAAAACACCTAACTCCCTTCCCAACATGTGTGCATGTGTGTTTATTATGGCAATAACCTGTTCTTTGCCTGTGCTTTGGTAAAGCTCAGCCCTGGGCTCCCAGGATCATACTGGTTGTACTGGTTTTGGCACACAATGTGTGCTGCTGTGTTTCTTGATCCCTCACCCGGGTGAAATGTGTATCCTTGGGCAGAGTTGGGAGTGGGATATTTTCTGTGTGGCATTTGGCTGAGGTTCTCTGGCTAAGCAGAAGGACAGGCTTTGCTGTTGATGGTGATAGGTGCCAAAAATTCCAGGGACTTTTTTCAGCAAGGTCTTAGCAATTTTTTAACTTGGACAAAGACCCTCTGAATTACAGAATTTGTGTGCATGTGTAACCCCTTTATAAACATTAGATCACTGTCAGAAGTTCTGCTGCAGCAAGACATGCAGTGATATAAAACGGAGGGAATTTAGAGTATCACAATACTTTACACACAGATGTAAATAGTTCTCTTGGGAGTAATAGAATACCCTTTATTCTCACTCCAAGTGCTATAATTGAGTGCATAAACATTTTGATTTGTAAATGACAAGGGAGGTAAAGCATGAAGTAAATGGCAGCAGGGAACAGCTCATCTGTAACCATAATATTTGTATAATGCTGTGCTACCTGATAAACTGTTGGGATACCTGATTGAGAACAAGCACAAAGTATGTTTCCAGCACAGCAGGGAACAAAAGCAAATGAAATTGCCCAAGAAGACAAGTTAAATGTTTGTTTTGATTCAGAGTCCCTGTAAGAAGTGTCTAAGATCTCATTAAAGAAAGAAAATTATACATTTTTGTTTATCCAAAGTTTAATGAAAACAGCAAAAGAAATGTAGTTTCTGCATGGTGGGTGTCCAGTGAGGAAAATAATTTTGCTGAGTTAAAAGCTATTAATAACAACAATTGCTATTCCAGTGTTAAAATATTGCTCTTACAGGTCTTGTGAAACCCTTTGGAAAGAGCAGTAAGGTCGTATCACCCAAGAGTTATTTATGGTATTAATTTAGTGGATACAAACAGGTATGAGATCTGGGCAATTCGTGTGACCGACAAAATTTATTTACATTTGTGCTAAATTAAATTAAATGTACCTCCTGCTCCATGCAAAGGTCCAGCCCCAGCTGTGAGAACACACACAGGGCTCCTCGGAACCTGAGCTCCTGATTTGTCTTGTTTTCTTGGACCAACACCTGGCAGTGATGCAGGGAAATTTCCCTGTCTTTGTAGTGATAGTCTTTGAAGAATAAACTCCTACTCACAGTCACATACTCTGCCATGAAATGTTAGGATTTAACAAAGTGATCTTACCCACATCCTGATTAAATAATCCACAGATCTACCTGCCAGTTATTCTTTATTTATGAGCCCACAGCAGAGAGGTGCTCTGACTCTGTTAGTAAATTGGTAACATCAATTGTACATGACCATCTATACTCCCAGCAGTTTACTTGGCATTTTAACAGACTACTGTGGTTTTAAGATTAAACTTGATTAAAAATATTAACTTTGTTATATTAAACTGTGGAGAAAAGCAAAAAAACCTGTTGTTTGAAATGATTTTATATTTCTGAATCTCTTTGATGTTCTATTAAATCTGAAGTTATTTAGGCTGTTGCTGACAAATGTGTTTTGTGTTTAGTTTTGGTGGTTTTTTACTGCTTTTGAGAGATATTTTGTGATTTAGAGGAAACGTATATAAGCTGCTGGTTTAATAGAAAGGCTTGTCATCCCATTTTCAACAGTATGCCAACAACTGTATCCTAGATAAATAGAAGAGATTATAATTATTTTTTTAATCTTTTTATCTTAAAAGAATAAGCTCAAGAACACATGGAAGGAACTCAGTTTTCTCCTGCTTCTGAGCAGAGAACTGTGCAGGGAAATGCAATAATGGTCATGCAGTAAAGTGGCAATGCAGTCAGGGGTTAGCTATACCTGGCTGCAAAATCTGCTTTACTAAAAATAATGTTAGGAATTAGCAGTGAAACTACAAATGGTGTCTAACACTCCATTAGACCAGTTGGTAACAAGAACTAACTTACAATAAATGGTGTTCAACCTTGAGCTTTACCCAGGGTTCCCTGGGAAGTCATGAACGCTGGGTTATTTTCAGCAAGTGTTACAGCTCTTACAAAAAAACACAGGTAAAAAAAAGGATCTGCTATAACCTGCTTTAGGTTTAAAATAGTTATCTCTAGATGCCATTTTGGCTGCTGACCTGGTGTCTTACACTGATGAGGCTCTGATAGAGGAAAACATACTTATTCCTTGTTTATGTGTAACTATTGCAGATAGAAAATATAAAAAACATGACCCAAATAAAACGTAGAAGATTGTCTTTCTCTTTAATATTTTTAGATACTAACTTACTTTTCTAAATCTTACACCAATTTATTTGCAAGTAGTAAATGAGACTAGTTTAGATAATATTTAAAACTTGATGTTTCTCTTAAGCATCCACAGGACTACAGTAAAAAGTACAAATTACTGGCTGAAGAGGTCAGATTGGCTGTGCATGTCTCAGAATTCTCTATTAGAACTCTCACCTTTGTGCTGACACCAAAAAATTAAGTAAATGATAGGCTGAAAAAAAACCCCAAAAGCAAAAGGTGATGGATTCCTGCCATCCAAATGCTGCTGGAG